CAAAGTCCAGCGGATTGATGTTTTTTAACTTTTCTGGACTGATTCTGACCTGCATGACGGAGAATCTTCACCAGGACAAGTTCAATGTTCTCAGTTTCTTTTCACCCCTGGCCTAAACTCTCTGAGTTGCATCTGAGCTTTGTTCTCTTCCCCGGTTTTATTCTTTAATCATTAATGTTTCCCTCTCAGTTTATCTTTTGAAATGTTTGCTTTAGAAATCCGTTATCTTTGAAATGACTTTCATCCGGACTGCCCTGATGGAAATCCTGTTGATCAATTCGGGCATCTACTGCATTTCATCACATCCAGAGATCCAGGAAAGTTCCCTTCAGGTAGCAGCAGCTTCTAAAGCCCTAATGTACCTTTATTCCATCAGGGTTTCTGTAAATGATTCACCTCTGGTGTATAAATACAGCTTAGAGTTTCCATCGGGTCACTTCCACACATCTGACCATGAAGGTGAGTTAATGGGTGAAACTAAACTGGGAGAACTGGTGAAATGTTGTGATGCTTTGGGTATTTTAACAGAACCAGAGAGTAAATTGTTGTTCTGTGTGATTGGATGAGCATCGCTGCTTTTCCTCTCAGAACCAACATGTTTTATAGTGAATAACCGGAACTCTCCTCCACTCCAGCTGCCGGCGGCAGTTTTCCTCCTGGTTCCCATCATGAGCCGCTGCTCAGACCTCGTCCTCCCTCTGGACTGCAGCGACGTTCAAAGGCAGAATACCAGCAGGCCCAGTGGCGTCTACACCATCTATCCCATCGGCGCCACCTCTGCTGTCCTGGTAAACCCACCGTCTGCAATGAAGCTCCTCCTCACTGTCCTGTGGTGGAAAATATGGACGCCTGATGCAGGAAGTCCACCATAAAACGGTTCCTGAAATGTTGCTCCAGCACAACATGTGGTTTATGTTTTGTGCAGGTGTTCTGTGATATGGACTCTCTTGGAGGAAAATGGACTGTAAGTATTTTAATGAGTAGTTTTCTGTTCTGGGCTCTAATTATTCCTCCATTTATCCACCATTAACCTTCTGATAATATTTGGCAGCTAAATATTTATTTGCACAATGTACCTTTTCTTTTAGTATACCTCTGAATCCCAAACCCATCTTTTTTATTTTTATTTATATGTCTAACATCTGTTCCAGATGTGTTCATAATGCACCAACCTGTTCTTTAAGCTGTATTTGAATTCAGCTTTGTTGCTCCGTGCAGCGAAGGAGGTCTGGATTTAAACCCCAGCCATGGTTCTTTCTGAACAGATGCTGCTTTCTTTGTTTAAAAAAGATGATTAAAGGTTTTAATTTGATGGATCCAGTCCAACGCCTACGCAGCTGCGCTCTCAATACAGAACAGTCTTTGTTCAGCACGACAGAACAGAGACTGGATTAAGGAGCTGATTGGGAGCAGGTGTGAACAGAGCAGTCTAGAAGGGAGCCAGGGGAAAGGTGGCCAACACAAGAGGGCAGCAGAGGGCAACCAAGAAAAACCTAAGAACTCAAATACATCCACAAAATAGGAATTAAACCAATAAAACTAGAAAACAAAGAAAAACATGAATGAATGTGAAACTGAAAACTCAAAAGAAACCAGAACAAAGACCGTGACAGGTATATTTAGTGTAACTGGTTAACCCTTTCCAGGTGTTCCAGAGAAGGATGGACGGTTCAGTGAACTTCTATCGGCCCTGGGATCAGTACCGGAGCGGCTTTGGGAACGCCGTTGGGGAATACTGGCTCGGTGAGACATCAAGCAGCTTTCCTCCTCAGACCACAGACGTCAGAAAGACGAATTTCTACGTCTGACTTTCAGGTCTTGAGAGTCTCTTCCACCTCACTCAGAGGAAACGTTATGAGCTTCTGGTGGACATGGAGGACTTTGAAGGAAACAAGGTGTATGCGCGTTACTCCAGCTTCTCCATTGGTCCTGAGTCCGACGGCTACAGACTGCATGTGTCTGGGTTTACGAACGGAGGTGCAGGTGGGTCACCGTGAAACTCAGCCAGCAGATCATTTCCCAGTAGTGAACAAGTTTAAAACGTTTTATATTTGTTAGGAAGGGTCGCCCTGCTGTTTACAGCTTCACTTTGCTTCAGATAAGACAGGTGATCACATCAGATTATTAAAAGAAAGAGAAACAGACCTGTGACACGATGCTGTGTCACCAACCTCCACTGTTGATGCTGCATGAAGTGTTATTGGTTTAAACTAAACGTGTCACAATCTTCTATCAAACCAGAGAAGAATAGGAATGGGCTGCTACTACATAGTCGGTAGTTTCTCTGATGCTGACGACCGCCCACCCAACCGGGAAAGTCTGCAGCTTTAAAAACCCACCATCAACAGACTGGTTTCTGTGTGACGACTATAAATCTGAGGATCAAACTCTGCAAAAGCTGAATGTAGAAATAAAACATGAAAAAAGCTCTGCTGAGGACAGCAGTTTCCGTTTGAGAAAACCTCATAACACACCATGTTTACTTCTAGAGCCGAATCATTGGCTGCAAAGCTGCAGACTGGAGGAAAAGCTGTCTGAAACACAAACAAGAACATTTATAAAAACACATAAAAGAAACAACAAAACTAATAATTTCAAATAAATGACGTCAAAACTAAGACTGTTACTTAATTCACAAGAACGTGAGTAAGAACCCGGCCAGGGCTAATGTGGACGAGCTAACATTAGCCCTGGCTGCTGCAGACGTGCTAACGTTAGCCCTGGCTGCTGCAGACGTGCTAACATTAGCCCTGGCTGCTGCAGACGTGCTAACGTTAGCCCTGGCTGCTGCAGACGGCTAATGTTAGCCCTGGCTGCTGCAGACACGCTAACGTTAGCCCTGGCTAATGTGGACGAGCTAACGTCTGCAGCACCCTAACATGACTGTTTATTGGCATCTCTAAATTCTCCTTAGGTGTGAGTGGTTCTGTGTCTCCGTGTTGCCCCGCGTCAGACTGGCGACCTGACCAGGATGACCCCGCCTCTCACCCATAGACTCCTGGCGATAGACACCAGGACCCTGACAGGGACTAAATCGGACAGCGCAGAGAGGTGGCGCTGGTCAGACTCGTCAATCTGGAAGAAGAAGAAGAAGAACTCGGTTGTTTGAACATGCTCAGTGCGTGAGGTTCTGGTAGATCGGCTCGTAGGTCTGCTTCATCAGCAGGATTTACTCACCAACACCTCAGGAGGTCCGACTGAATTTCAAACATGTTTGATTTTCTCCTGACCTCATGATTCCTGATGGGGAGGTGGTCGTTAGAGGCCGATCACCCCTCGTTACCCCCTGTTCACTGCACCACGCAGGATGCACCATCAGGCTGAAAGTTGTCCCGATCGAAAAATTCTCGCACGACTAGAGAATCAGCCCGAAAAGAGAAAAAATTTATCGTCCGCCCGGCTTTAGGCTCCATGCACCATCGTATAACAACAAAAGCAAAGGTTGAGACCCTGAGGGAACCAACACTCTCCATCCCCGATGACATCATGTCCATGAACCACAGAACAGGCAGAGAGAGAAAACATTTATGCTTTTCTTCAGTAACATTTTCATGTTTCTGCAGGAGACTCTCTGACGTATCATAGTGAACAGAAGTTCGTGACATTCGACCTTCCGGAGGGAAACTGTGCCAGAGGGTACCAAGGAGCGTTCTGGTACAAAACGTGTCACTATGCCAACCCTAACGGGGCCTATCTGTGGGGCCCACACACCCATTTTCGAGCTGTTGGAGTGGAATGGTTTCACTGGAAAGGCTATGAGTATTCCCTGAAGGCCATCAGCATGAAGATCCGCCCCCTTCAGTAAATCTTTATCTCTGGTTTATTTCAGGTAGAGCTTTACCTGACTAACCTCAGCTGCTGGAAATCAAATGATTATTTATTCATTGATTTCTTTAATAAGTCAGCTTTTTTTGTTTTTAGATCTCCTTTTCGGCGTTTTCTCTGTCTTTTTAAAATATGTTTTTTGTGATTTAATCTCTTTCACTCTTATCTCTGCCTGTGCTGGCATTATGCTTTGAACTTTAGAAACTGTTTGACAGCAGCGCTAAGATGTTCTTTCATGTCTTTATTCCAGAAGTTTATTTAAAAAATGTAATTTATTTTTTTATTTTGGTTACTGAAGTTGGTCTAAGATTGATCTATTCTGTACAATAGAATTTCATATTTCTATGGTTGGAAAATTTAGTTAATTACTCATAAAACTTTTCACTCAGCCTGTTTGACCTGCAAGGCCTCAGTATTCCCGTGTGTGGATGTTTTTACATAAGGCAAACCTTCTTCCCATAACAAACCATGTTACTGTTTAACCAAAGTGTCATTAATTAGTTTTGACTGACTTCTTTCCATTATTGTCAGTAAGGAGGAACGAACGCTGCTCAGATCAGAACAGGGCTGATTATGGTGCAATAAGGGCCGTATGATGAACTGTTCTCTCTTTGCAAAGATAAAAATAAAGTGCCGACTGAGTGAAATCCATCGCTCTCCGTTTATGTAACCATGGTGAATGGTTAAATACTTTTTTCTAAATACAGAATTGATACGCTTTTAAAACAAGCATATAAAATCGGGTCTCCAAAGTAATAAAGCTGTGTGTTTTCTCTGCACTGAGACGCTGGGGGCGTGTCCTTAGCTTCAACGCCTTCATCTTGCAGGAACTGCTGACACACTCCAGTCTCATGAGGTCTAGCATTGGGAGCCCAGGGCTAACTGCACCAGCAGATGGTCTCAATCTCATCTCTGTACCAGATTACAGTCCAGCTACCTCTAGGGGCACATGGAGAACCTGAAGAAATGTTCCCCACACCATTACTGACCCACTGAAGGACCCACTAGCAGGCAGCAGATCCCTCTCCAGACCGTCATTGTGCTCAGTGTGGCCTTGCCATCATCTGTGAAGAGCACCAGTGGTGAATTAGCCAATCCTGGTGTTCACTTGCAAATGCCCAGCATCCTCCATGGTGTTGTGCTGTGAGAACAACCCCCATCTGTGGACGTGGGGCCCTCATACCATCCTCATGGAGTCCGTTTCACAGCTGTGGATTGCTGGAGGTCATTGTGCAGGGCTCCTCCTTTCACTAGGAGCTGTGGGAGTTTCTGCATACCCAATGAGTCCCAACCTACACATCGGTCTGAACTGCTGCAGTGAAGATTAATCTGCTCCTTTGCATCCTAGGGTGGTTCATTGGACCCATCCAAACTTGATGACCTGCTGAGCTACGTCTGCAGACCACTTCTGCTCTTTAAACCTCAGAGGAGTCATTGCAGACTTGAAGCTTTTTGCTTTTCACAGGTAAGTAGTTTCAAAACCATCCTTTGATGGCAAAGTTTTTTTTTTGGGACCAGAATTATAACATTTACATTTAGGGTCATATTTAATCCTAATATGGTTATTCCTGAAACATTACTGATGGCCAACAGGAGAGCAGTTGCCTCATGTTAGCGTTACATATACTGAACCCAGCCAGCAGAGGTCACCAGAGCACAGGTTTAAAGCAACCCAGACAGCAGTTTGGATTCAAAGGAAGGTTTTTAATCAAGAGCTCTGCAGGTAAACATCCCTACCATCTTGAATCAAACCAAATAAACTGGGAATGGTAAAAAACAAAAACAGAAAGGGATCTCCTTCCTTCCAGTAAAGAAAATAAAATATTTAACCCACACCCCAAGACACTAGTTTCTATTTATAGAGTTTCTGAATGGTGTCCCATGTAAAAGCTCCAGTAGGTTAAATACCCCTCAGTAGTTATCTAACTTGGTCAACAGTTGCCCTTTTGACCCCCATGGAGGGGCTCCCAGGCTGCTCTGCAGGGACTGGAATGGGATTGAAAGCCTCCGGGCTGTACTGAGAGTGAGAACTGAAGTCTCGTGCTCGCATATATCCGCGGTTTGAACGGACAACATGGGACGATGGGTAGACGAGACGTGTCGCCATTCCTGGGGAAACATCGGAGGCCCACTGAGAGTGAAGCAGCAGATTGTTGGCGCTCTGGCTCAGCAGGTCTTCAATCATCTGATCCATTTCTGCATCGTGCAGAGCTGAACGTAGCGCATTAGATCCATCGCCAAAATCCGATCCAACCCCACTGCTGGTGTAAGCAGAACCAGGATCAGAGGAAACTCCTGCAGTGAGGTCAGAACCGACACCAACTCTGTAGTCTATATTGGGCCAACCAAAACCTGGGAACAAAAGATCAGACATCATCCTGTTAGGCTTTCAGTTAGAGATTATATCCAAGTTTATTTTACTGCCCAACATCCGTAGGTGACTACTGTGTTTCTACTCACGGTATTTTATAGGAAAACAGACTCCAATGTTGAAAAGAAGGAAAGGAATCCAGAAAATTCTGCTGAGAAAGACTTTTTCAGTTAATAAACAAAATAAAAAACATCTTAACACAGGAAACAAACTCACCTGAAAACACATCGACACTCCATGTTGCACAAAGTGAACTCTGTTAAACAGAAGCCTTGATGTGTTTTATTGGTTCCTCAGCTGCATCAATTAGCCGCACCTGCTTCCTCTCAGCATCATTACTCCCAACAGGCCTGATTTCAGCTGGAGCCAGAAACTTTCCCACTTCCACTGTTAAAAATGGTCATGGAACCATATTAGCTACAAACAGTTAGATTTTCTTAGTCTTCATTACTTGGACAGTTTCTGCAGGTCAAGCTTCTTGACTTCCAAGTTTGTTTTTGTTTTTTTCTTCACTTTCTTATTCACTAATTGATATTAATTTATGTAAGTTACATTTTTTCCAGTTTAGAAGTTGCCCTGATCCGAGTCCTGCGTAATGAAGGAACATTCACTCAAATTACAGCTGATGTCTTTATTTCTTACTGCAGCAAAGATGCTGAACTGTGATGATAAACTTTATTAAAGTGTTTTTGTGTTTCTTCTTCCAAC